GGGGGCGGGCTGGAGGGTGTCCCAGGGGGCGGTATGGGGGCCCAGGAGGCAGTGGCTGAGGCTGGCGGGCGACACCTTGAGAATGGAGTGTAGCAGACAAATATATTCATCAAATGGACCACGGTGTCCGAGGGCAGGAAAAGAGAGAGTGAGCGAAGGTAAAATACTCTTGGTGCTTTGAACTTCTTCCCAAGGCTTTGAAATATCACAATTTGTAATCTCGTGGCTTTTTCGTTGATATTTTTGCCCCAGACCAACAAGGAGGTTGTTGTAGAATGAAAGCGGCCCCGCTTTTCACACCCCATCAATGGTGCGAGGTTTAATTTTATTCAGATGCACTCTTTCGGAATGAAACAAACCTTGAAGTCCGCGCGACCTTGTTTATCTCTTTCACTCGAGTTAGCACGTGTGTGTGAGTGGCGTGTTTTTGTGAGCGTATACGTGTGTGTGTTTTCTGAAAAGGGAAAAAGGGGGGGGGGGATGGGTTCGGTACTCTATTCACTTGGATATATCAAACATTCCTCTCACACAAATTCACCACATCTCCGCAGCCCGAGCCCTGAATGTGGAACAGGAAGTCACTGACGCGTATCCGGCAAGGCGTACGACAGAGCAGAGCGGGGGCCGGGGCTCGCCGAGTTGGATGAAGTGAACCGAATGCTGACACTCAGCATCGTGTGCTTGTGCGGTGACGGGTCACGTGACCCACGAACTCAGCTGGACCCTCCAAACCACCTTGCCTCTTTATTAACAATGAATCTTTCTTTCTTGTTCCAGGTGAGAAGCCGTTTCATTCGACGTGGAAATTTCTTGCCTAACCCTTCAAATGTGAGTAAAGCGGGTAAATGATTAATTTAAGTGTTCAGTCGGTAAATACCAGGGTACAATTACAACTTGTACGTATTCACTGCTAAATGTTTGCAAATAGTTAGATAAATTATTTGCGACTTTGTGAGGAACTTTCATGGAAGATTTCGAGGACTTCTTCTTGTCTGTTTGGTTTGGCCTCGTGCGACCAGCTTCGATATTTATGATACCGAGGCGCAACGCTCGCCAATTTAAGAGAATGTTATTGAAGAGAGAGGGTCGTGGTTCACGCAGGCCTGTTTTCCCACTCTTTTCCATTTTGCCTCTCCCTGTCTCCTTTTCTTGTCTTGTTTTCGTTTTCTCTCTTTTTGTGTGGGATTTTAGTCTTTCTACGTCTTCGTGACGCCAACACCACGAAGTTAATTTTTGTCCATGGTTTACGATAAGCAATATCACATTGTCTTTTTATTAAATGTTTGCTCTGACAACAGCGTAGAATCATAACAATAAGTTAAACAGGTGGGAAGGGGTGGGGTATGAAATGGAGATCATTTGAGTGAAAAATCAAGGGCGCGCAGGGGTCAGCTGCTGAAGGTCAGGGTCGGTGAGTCTATATGCGTTGAATATCAGATGTGTGTGTACTCTGACTGGGCAGGCCTTGCACTGGCGCGGTGCCGTGCCCAACCCTCACGGGGGAGCCAGCCGTTGGGTGGAAAGTAGGGTGGACTGGAGCCGGCGGCGGGCTGCTCGGAACTCTCTGACATCTCGTTAGTCGCACCCTCGGCGGTCACGTCTTTGGGCTATTTATTTCCTGGTTACCAAGACTACGCCACGCACCGCTGCCTGCTTCCCAGCCCACCCCGCACCACACTGACGAGGAGGCAGGGAGCGGCGGCCACTAAAAAAGGCTCGCAGAGACGCGTGGCTTGCCGGCCGGGGCTGTTTTGATCGCGTCAGCGGGCGGCTACTACTGGCCTGAAGGTGGTGGTAATCGTGTTTTCAGACCAAGAGCAAGACTGAAACCTTTTTGTCTCGCGTAACCAACGCATCCGCAGAGCATCAGGTAGGGTATATGGATGCACTGCGAATGCGTCGAATATGTCGGGGCTACACTGCGGATGCATCACGGATGCATCGGATAGGTTGCGGATGCACTGCGGATGCGACGGATCGGTCGCGCGGATGCTTTGCACACCCAAAAAAATATGTTCTCAATTCAAGAACATCCCCAAAATTTTAAGGCAAGAAGGGATTATTTTAATCTCTGTTTACTTGATTTAAGTGCAAATAGGGGTTACAATAAGAACATTTGCCTTAAAATTTTGGGGATGATCTTGAATTGAGAACACATTTTTTTGGGTGCAGATAGGTTGGATGAGCTACGGATGCTGGGCACACTGTGAATGAGTTGGATAGGCCGTGGATGCAGATGCGGATGCGGGCGTCTTACGGTTAAAATTTGGACGAGGCTAAGGAGGGCGGATGTCCAAATCGCTTCCACAGTCCCGGGGCATAACTATACATCTCTATCTCTTGGGGTGGGTTTGTCTGGCGAAACAAACTGGCCCGCAGAAAGAAGTGTTGTGGTGGTTATGGCGGAGGAGGGGAGAGAGCCGACTCGACATAACAAAGTCCTAACCAACACGAATAATCGTTAGGGCAGCCCGCGGTGCGGCGCCGCGCCTGTGAACCAAGTTAAGCAGTATCGCCGCCGTGCCGCGAGCGCGGCCCCCGTGCCGTCCCTTCGTTGAGGGTTTTTTTTTTTTCCTTTCCTTTTTGTTTTTTGGTGGGTCATTCTTTGTTTTGGGTAAGTGCGAGTGGGCCTGTACAGTTAACAATTTCTCTCATAAATAGCCATGGAAAATGATAAATAACTCAGTTTAAACTGGCTGATAAAATGTGGGGGGAGGGGCAACGAAGCGCCAGTTACGGCGTGCCACTTGTAGTTTTAACGACGCGCAAATCAGTTCAGCGACAAGAGCCTGACGAAGTGAGCTGTGGAATAGGCCACCCTCCCTGCAGATGGCCCGTCGTCGTGGCGCGGGCTGGGACAATGTCGGGCTAATGACTGCTCTATCGGCGCCGTCGAAATTGCCTATATATAGCCAATTCGTGCTTAACAAGTTTTGGGGAACAAGGTCCCCCGCGCTGCTGGGCGGCCTATGGGGCGGCTGCACTGCTGGGTAGGCCACGCCGTCCCGCGGCCGTGGCGCGGGCTGCCTATGCACCGATCTGCGGGCGCCTCGTCTGACCCGGGCGGCCGGCAGCCAGTGGCGCGTTACTGGTGTCGGCGCCGGGTGGCCAACCTCGGACCTCACAGGCGCTCCCGTTGGGCAAATACCTCTCAACAGGTCACCTCGCTCATAACGCGCCCCTGGACACGCATGCCCACGCACGCTCTCGCGTCACGGCGCCCCTCCCCGGGGGCAGCCGAGGTTGGGGAGCGGGCTTCGTTGTCATTCCAGAGGGACAAGCTGGACAAGCCAGGTAGCAGCGCGTTTCCTGGAAAATCATGGGGGTGAGGACGAGAGAGAGAGAAAAGAAAGGTTAGGGGAGGATTGGGGTAGCGCCCGCTAGCGGCAGCAGGGAGGCAGTGCAGATGGCTGCAGGGGAGAAAGGGGGAAGGGGTGGGAATGGGAAGCGGCAAAGAAAGAGGGAGAGCTGGGGAGGAAATTGCATTTTCAACTTCAAACGGAAGCGTGCTCAGTGTTTTGAGAATTTCGCTTTTATTTCGGCTAGCGCCTTCGCTCCGTCTGCCGCGCGCCGCGTACCGCAACACGGCACTCTGGAGGTGTCGGCGAATCAGGGATGCGGCCCACGCGGCTCTACGGGCAATATGGTGGGGGAGGGGACCCGGAGGGGAGTGTGGAGGTAATGGCTGCAATTGTATGCCTCAGAAACAGAATGAAGGCGGAGGTGCGAGAAGAAGAGGAATGGAAGAGGACGAAGGAGTAGCGGGAGGAGCAGTGGGGAGCAGTGTTGTTGAAAAATAACCAGCACCTTGCCTTCACTCTGCGAGAGGAAAGTAGAGAAAATGCTTAGATTTTTCGCGCGGATAAAGTTACCGGACAACAAGCAAGAGTAGCAGGTGTATTTCAGAGCGAGCCGCGCGGGCTTGGTCTTCAAAAGCGGGCGAAAAGAGATTAAAGGGGTTCATCGGATAACGTCGTTAATTTCCGCGTAATCTCGTGTAGTGTCTCTCTCCTTGACCCGGAGGCGCGCGGGCCGGCGTGGCGCGGAGCGGGCTGCCTGCTGCTGGATTGTCTCGGGTATAAATAACGAGCGCGACGTGACGGGGGCTCTTGACTCTTTGAACAAAAGGCGCGACGTTGCATGCCCGGGCCGGGGACACTCATTGGAGTGAAGAGGCGCCCAGCGCCGGCGTAGCCGAGGTCGTGGAGTCTGGAGGATTTGAAGTCAACAAAACACGACATCCGTGTAAACTTTCTTGCCCAACTATTTATATCCAGCAGTTTTGTAAGGGCTTGGAAACCTAATGCCTGACCATGGTTTTAGTGAGGCTAAATGATACTCGGAATGATAGTAACCATTAAATCGTCGATCCACAGTTGGTTTTGTAAATTTTGTAAGTGCAACTGTATACTTCATAGTATATTTGATTCGTGAAAGAAGACGGGGTTTTCGTAAGTGTAACAGAACTGTGTTCAAAGCGCGTAACTCAATTAAAAATTCAAATAGTCGATTTTCGAATAACTTCGGAATTGAGGCTTCATGGTGATTTGTTAGGTGAAACTGACGAACTGCTCTTCGTTTACCATAAAACCTTCCCGTTAAATTGCGAATATGTTTTACTGTGCCTATTGCCATTTACAATATCCAGTAATAGCCATGTCGCTGGTCTGGAGTTGGTGGATGGCATCGGGTATAATTTTTTTTCCCAGTGTATCGAAGTTCAAATATTTTAGTTGGTTCATGCCTGCCAGCCCTGTTGAGTTGGCGGCCGGGCCGCGGCGTAGAGTTGGAGTCGGCCGGCCAGGCCTTGGGAACAAGTTTGGCCGTGCCCGGCCCTGGCGGTTCCCTGGCGCTGCTCTGGAGCCCCACCGGTGTGGCTGCGCGGTGCGGCGGCGGTGCGGCCGTGGCCGCTACGTGCTTGCAATAGACTCGGGGGAACACCGCCCGCGGTTACACTGCGGTTGACACACACGCCCTCCGCTCTCGCTCATGATACTAAAACAGGACGCCGTGCGCAGCGCGAGACAACGGAGGAGTTGTAATACTCTTGTGCTATGCTGCTTTACTTTTCCCTTTCGGCGGGGCTGAAACTACAGCTTGATTTCGAAGCGGAGGTTTCAGGCACCCGGACAGTTCCATGCCCTAGCTTGGAATCCAAGCAAAAGTTAGCGGATTCCAAGCTTCATTTGACCTAAATTACTGCCCCGCCTCTGCCTAAACGAGGTCAGACTGTGGCGTCCTTCGCCTTTCCGCGCGTTTTCAAAATATTGCTTGTGATAATATTCAAACGAAAACGTTCTCTACTCGAAGAGATTTGTTATTGCTGCTCCTTTATTTAGGCCTCGCGTGCGGTAAAGCGCAAAAAAAACGAAGCCTTAAGCAGAGTTGTAGAATTAAAGTGCCAATGCGGTAAATATCTATGTCACTCCATATGCTCCCTGTTTTTCTAAGACCAACGAAATTTTGAATGAAAGTCCTGACGCTATTCTAGTACAACAGCTCTACACCACTACCGTGGTCCCAAAGTGAGTTTATCATATCCTAGTGCCTTCCATGGAGTTACGCGCAATTTCTTGTATCACCATGTGAGAACAATATCTTTGAAAAACGAATTCTAGTTAGAAGCCCGGTATGCTCACGTGAAGCCTTTTTAGACCACATTGGATAATGTGGGCTTTTCAGATTTTACTTTTCTACCCCGCCCCTTACCTACCTGCACGTAACGCCGCCACCACTTACGCCTCGTTTCGCACGCCGCCACTTTCCTTTGTTTTTCATTTTTCACCCGCGGCATGCGGCATGTGCACCACATCATCCGGGCCCCTCTT